TTCTTTCAGTAGAGGGTTAGCAGCGTTTGCGCTGCGTTACTTGTTTTATTACTCAACACTACACTATCCATGAATCGTTACACATGAGATATACAACGTTTCTACAGGCTACATGAATCAGGAAACACTACCGATTGGGTAATATATTTTGTCATCAAGGTATATTTCTTATGTGTAACGATTCATGGGTAATATACAGTGTTGAGCAATAAAATGAAGACGATAGAGGACAGAATAATGGGAAAAGGCGACGGAGATCTGAATTAAATCGATGTGTGGATATTACCACAATACTTAGTAAGAACAAAATGGAGCATAAATTGACATTTTATTTTCTTATTAAACATTATCTTACGTTTATCTACAATTCGAGATGAAGTTATTTTCAATTATAGAGTGGGTGTGGGTGTGGATGCGAATAAAGCACCCAAACACACCAACACCCACATCCACACCACACACCCATACGCACACCCATACCCACACCCCACACCGACACCTCACACCCACCACAGGTATACCCCACACCCATACCCCACACCCACACCCTACACCCATACCCCACACCCACAACAGGCACACCCCACACCGCGCACCCACACTCACACCCCACACCCAAGTTTCAGAGGTCTGGCTTATTTCAATCAAATATTAGTACTGATTAGAAATCGTTAAAAATGACGAGTTTTGCATGTATTGGAAGGCCCATTAATGCCAGACGGCTCAATATTTTTCGACAAAAATTTTATAGTGGGTCAGGCACATCAGGATATATGTTCACTAAAAATTTTAGCTCAATTGGCCCAGCCATTCTCGAGATAAAGTCATATTTGTACTCCCAATTTTCGAAAAAATGCATTTTAGCATTTTTGTCGTAAATTGCTTCTAGAATTTCGAAATTTCAATATTTTTCGAGAAGCCAAATGCTAGAATTCTTAAAACACTTCCCTCTACAACATATATAAAATTGATCAAAATCTGACGACCTCGACTGAGCGAGGTCAATCGTGGCTTATGTGGACTGGCTCATAAAAAGTCTAAAATATGACTTTTATAAACAACAAACTCATTTATCATTGACTGTCATTGAAAAATCTATGGCAAACAGAGTCTATGGGTTTTTTTATTTCAAATTGAATTTTGAATAAAAAATAATACCCCATTTTTACCAAGACAGAGGGACTAAGGGGACTAACTAAGCGGACTAAGGGTAGGAATAATGGTGTACACAGAGACGTGCATGGGTCGCGGCTCTTCGTGGGGGGGCGCTTCGCGCCCCCACGCCGCGACGCTGAAATAAAAGGTGTGTTAGATGGGGAAACACGCTTCCCCACTAAATAGTCCGCTTAGTCCCCTTAGTCCCCTTAGTCCCTAAGTCCCTTATTTCAATTTGAAATCAAGTGCTCTTTTTTCTGTTTAAATTCAGATTGAAATTAAATAACCCATCGTATGGGCAAACAATATTGAGGTGATTGATTTATTTTTTTTTGTCTCAAAATCACGCTCGTTCAGTTTTAAATAATAGGATTTGTAGTTGCTCATTCTTCATTTCTCATCGGGGTGTTAAACAGAACAAGATGTTCTCTATTTTTATTTTACTTCTTGGTGCACAATTCTTTTCCAATTCTCTGTGTCAATCAGAAGATTCATTTAAAAATTTATCAAGAAATTTCACATCGAAGGATTATTCAATTGTTTTACCCGAATTCCTGAAACAATTATTATCATCAAATGTTCTCAATAATTATAATATTTCAATGACAAACAGTTTTGGTCCAGATACAGGTATTATATATATACACCATTATAATGAAACTTACTCTGTCAACGATACTCGTTTGTTTTTTGACATAATAATGGCATTGAAGGTTAATAGATCCTCATATACTAGTCGGGTTCACCAAGTATGTTTATTTAATAGTTCATGTAATCGATCATTTATCAAAGATTGGATTGAATGGCAAGAAATTGCTATTAATAAAACTATACAAGCCGCAGCTGTATTCAACACAGAAAACATTCTTACTTATAGCGAATTTAAAATATGGAGTTCATCGTACCAAAATATAACTGATTTATGCTTTAATAGCACTACCGATCAAAATGAAACTCGTAATACCTATCCTAACAGCACTGTATTCAGTGTAACAACGACTCCTGAGAACATTACACCAAATATAAAAGTTGATGATACCAATAATTGTTTACGATATGGAGACACTTATGAAAATGTTCGACGCAATATTTCGTCTCGTGTAATTGAACTCATCAATTTTGTTAAACAGTATAACTCTTTAAACAGTAAAAAGAATATCATTGGACAAACATTCACAACAATCGTTAATATTCCTCTGACAGATGGATTAACATCATCGTTGATCAACATAAATCAACCAATTATTAAAGAGTTGACAACAATGATAAATCAGGATAAATCAAGCGGTAAAAAGCTTCTGCATGTATTAATTATTGTGTTGATTATTGTTCTTGATATTATATTATTAGTTATTTTTATTGTTTGCTTTATTTCTTGGAATAATTATAGACATGGATATCGTCCAACTGCAACATCATAAATTTAGTTGATTGCTTGTTTGCTTGCTTCTGTCAAAAATATTTGGAATAAATAAATGCAATTTGATGTGTAATGAAAACCTGCTGTTAACCGACCCAGATAAACAGAAATAACAACAATAATACAGCTGAACTCCTAGTGAGCAGTGGGAAAAAAATGTCGATCTACATATTTCAGCCGTTGAAATCATACTGTAATAAGTGATCATATTAAATATAACTATTGTAAAGTATGAAAAAGAGTTCTTGAATGATGTCAATGTATCACGGATATGAATATTGCTATTCCAGATTGATGCTTCTATGATGCCATTATTACACTATGTAACGCTAAAGCGAGCGTTATTGGATTTTGAGCAAACTATCCGCTGGAAGTTCATGGGAGATAAGAAGTAGGTAAATAGATTATTAAGTAGCTTTTTATTAATACTTTCCGAATAAGCAATTAGTGTTTCAATAAAAAAATCAAGGACATCTCGAAAAACTTACTGCTTAATTAAATCGATCTGAAGAGATTTCAGCATAATAAAATGCACCGACGTTTTTCATTTTATATGAAATGCTCGTTGAATTTTTCAGAAATTACATGATGAAGATCTAACTACTCTGTATATCATCCAAATAGATCAGCATTAGTATCATAATGATAAGTGATGCATTCTCCAATTCTTATTCAGTAGCCCCATCATCTCTTGTTCTTCATTCTACAACCAGAGTGTCTTCACTATGTAATAAGTGGGTGGGAGTGTGGGTGTGGGCATGGGTGTACGGGTGAGTGTGAGTGAGGGTATGAGTCAATGCTTGATGTGTACACACCCACACTCCACACCCACACCCTTACGTGAAAAATCTAGATTCAAGATCAACATTGAACGAATTCGCGCAGATAAACAATCAGAGAAAAAGAAAATCTTATGCGAACATTGATGCATGATTGAAGAAACTCGCACTGTCTTATAATGTCAACAATATAAAAGAATATTCGACTTGAATTGCTGTTATCCTAAAAATATGCGCTTAAATTCATTAAAATAACCTTTATATCATGTTGATGTAATCAAAATAAATAATCACAATTTAGGATAAAGTGCAGCGGAAGCAATGTCTTCGAAGGCGCAGTTTTATGTATAGAACTAGGAAGATTTG